TAGACGTTAGTCTGTTATAGCTCTGATAACATATAAGAATTATCTCAATCCAATAGCTTAAGCTGTTAAATAAGATTTCAAGATATAATTTATATTATTATGTAACAATTATAATTGTTTAGTTTATATGCATATAATTACTGTAAACTTACAATTGATTTCAAAACATAAATGATAGGATATATTATAAGCATAAAAATCAAAATTTTAAATCACACATTCAAAAAAAGATTTCAGCATGCATATTATCACTTATAATGACAATTATATAATTAATTTTAAATTAGAGTATAACTATAGTATTTACAAAAGAACTTAGAATTAGAATAAGCTAATCATATGTTGTTGTAACAATCAATTATTTATTTTTAAAATTGTATTGTTTTTTTTTAATGCAGACAAAATGATAGGAGTAAGGCTTTCAAGATTCCAATATCTGCACTTTTAAAGGGCCACTTTCATTTGAAGTCTAAGACCGAGAGACATAAAGAATTCAAAATACTCTTTACGAGGGACTAAAACTTAAGCTTTAGAATGGCGGAAAGATGATAAAAAAATAAAGTTGGAAAAAACAACATATAAGAAGGCCAGAAAACTACAGCAAGGGGTGCAGATCATGACCCTTTAAACCTTTTTTATACTGATTTTTGTATTTAAAATTGATGGAGAATTAATTATGATAATTACTTCTTTTTTTCGTTTTACCTTAACTACCTCACATAAAAAAAACTAATAACTTTTTTACCTTAAAAATTAGATCTTTTTTGTTTGAAAATAAAATAATAAAGTAGAAGAATACTATTTAACTCTTTCTTCATGGGCTAGATATATATAAGCTGGTAAAACATAATTCTTTATAAAATAAAAATATGTTTTATAATAAATTTAAATTCAAGTTAAAAATATGTTGGTAAAAACCAAATTTAAATCCAGTTCTTAGAACTCGAGTCTGAGACAAACGAGTGTGTAAGTCACTTAAGTTTAAAATCAATTTGTTTAAACTCATTGTAGCTTTTCAACTTTTCATTGTATAAATTACAAAATAATCATGTATTTGTGTAAGACTCTCGTGTATCTTTTTCCTTTCCTACGCGTGTGAAGGCATACCTTATGGTAAATGGTATTAATTAATTAATTATAACTAAAACTTACCGGTGTTTAAATGTATTGCGGACTACTAATTAATATGAATGAATTCATTATGGATTTTAATGTTCTGCACTGTAGCGCGAGTGGTGTAAATTATAAACATTTTTATTGTGAACTGCACTATTAGATAAGAGCATATGTGAGGTTGCAACTAGCAGGCCCCAAGCACTAGGCTAGAGATGCACCCACTAGAGCTGTGCACATGTGGCACTTGAACGGCTAACTTAGTATTCGATACACTCCTGTGCACATGTGACATTAGAATGCTTGCCTGAGAGCTGGGCATACCTAAGCATACACATGGTGGTTGGGTTGTACTAGGAATGAGCCATGATTATGCCCTACTTGGAGACACTTGGCACATAGGTCATCACACTAGACCTAATGGGAATGGGTTTGGTGTCAGGATCCAAGATTAATGGGCCTTGCATAAGGATCCAATTCTATTGTATCCTCCATCAAGACCTAAGGTTCCTACGTCCTAAGATTCTAAATATTATTATTTGTTTTAGAAATATTATTATTTTTATTATAAATAATATTATTAATAAATCTAAATGAAAAATTACTATTAATATTGAAAACATATTATTATATATATTATAAATTTTTATGGTGTTTTTTATAAAAATAAAAAATGAGCCTATGGCTTAGTATTATAAAAAATATTCAACAATTCTAGGTATTAATATAAAAAATATTATAATTTATGTTGTAAATATTTTTTTTTGTTATAATACAAAGTATTCATCCAAAACATATTATTATTTTTCTTATTATTCAAAGTATTCATATAAAAATATTATTATTTTTCTTCAAATTCATCATATTCATATCAAAGATATAATTATTTTTGTTATAATATTATTATTTTTATAAGAATTCAAAATTTTAATATAAATAAATATTATTATTTATGTTCTCAATATTCTTGAAATTAAAAATAGTATTATCTGTGTTCTTAATATTATTATGTTCACTATAATGAAAAGTATTAATATTAAAAATGTTATCTTTTGTGTTGTAAATATTATTATTTTTATAATAATTAATATTATTAATTAAAAAATTACTAAATTAAAAAATTATTCATAATATTAAAAAATAACCATAGATTTGATTTAAAAAGTAAAACTAAAAATTACTACTATTATCATTATTATCATCATCAACATTAATAAATTTTTAAAAATTATTATTACTATCAAAGAAAAACCACATAGGAACACGTGACGCTCAAGATGCTATTTGGGGTTGGGCACACCCCCTTCAACCTTGTGGCACTTAGGCTCCCGCCTAAAATGCACACGTAATGCATGGGTCATGCCACTAAATCTAAGTGGAATGGGTCCTGCATCAGGACCAAGATTAATGGGTTTTATATAAGGACCCAATTCTATTGGATCTTTAATCAAGACCTAAAGCTCTTGGGTTCGAGAATTCTAAATATTATTAATTTTATTATAATTAATTTTATTAATAAAATAATTAATAAATTTCAAAGATAATATTACTATTAATATTGAAAAAATATTCTTATTTCTATTATAAATTTTTATGGTGTTTTTTATAAAAATAAAAAATGAGCCCATGGCGTAGTATTATTAAAAATATTCAACAATTCTAGGTATTAATATAAAAACTATTATAATTTACATTGTAAATATTATTCTTTTTCCTACAATACAAAGTATTCATTTAAAACATATTATTATTTTTCTTATTATTCAAAGTATTCATATAAAAAATATTATTATTTTTCTTTGAATTCAACATATTCATATTAAAGATATAATTATTTATGTTTTAATAGGATTATCTTTTAGAAGAATTCAAATTTTTCATATAAAAAAATATTATTATTTGCATTCTAAATATCTTGGAATTAAAAATAGTATTATTTGTATTTTAAATATTATTATTTTCACTATAATAAAAAGTATTAATATTAAAAATATTATCTTTTGAGTTATAAATTTTAGTATTCTTATAATAATTAATATTATTAATAACAAATTACTAAATTAGAAAAACATTATTCTTAATATTGAAAAATACCTATAGATTTGATTTAATAGATAAAACTAAAAATCATCATCATCATTAATAAATTTTAAAAAATTATTATTATTATCGAAGAAAAACCACGTGGGGACATGCGGCATTTAGGATGCTATCTTGGGTTAGGCACACCCCCTAGCCACGTGGCACTTGAGCTCTTGCCTGAAGCTCACACGTGGTGTGGTGTTTAGGTCATGCCTCAGCACTGGGCACACCACTTCTCCCATGGAGCGCTTGGGTCCTACCTCACTACTAGACATGCAACTACATTCATGTGGTGTTTGGGCTCCTATCTAAAGCGCACACATAGCACTTGGGTGCTATCTCAGTGCTGGGCACACCCTCTGCATCCAAGCAGCGCTTGGGTCCTGCGTCACTGTAAGGCATACTATTGCGCCCATGTGGCACTTGAGCTTTTGTCTGAAGCACACACGTTGTGCATGGGTCTTACCTTAGTGCTGGATAAACCATTGACCCATGTGGTGCTTGGGCTCCTGGCTAAGGCGCACATGCGGCATATGGGTCATGGCATTGGACTTAAGGGGAATGAGTCCGGCGTCAGGACCCAAAATCAATGTGTCTTGCATAAAAACCGAATTATATTAGATCCTCCATCAACACTCAAGGTTCCTGCGTCTTGGAATTTAAATATTATTATTTGTTTTATAAATATTATTATTTTTATTATAACTAATATTATTAATAAAATAATTAATAAATTTCAATGAAAACATTATTTTTAATATTGAAAATTACATATTATTATTTCTATTACAAATTTTTATGGTGTTTTTTTTTTATAAAAGTAAAAAATGAGCCGCGGCTTAGTATTATTAAAAATATTCAACAATTCTAGGTATTAATATAAAAAATATTATAATTTATGTTGGAAATATTATTATTTTTCTTACAATACAAAGTATTTATTTAAAAGATATTATTATTTTTCTTATTATTGAAAGTTTTCATATCAAAATATTATTATTTGTCTTATAATTCAACATATTCATATCAAAGATGCTATTATTGCTCTTATAATATTATTATTTATTTAAGAATTCAAATTTTACTATAAAAAATTATTATTTATATTCTAAATATTCTTGGAATGAAAAATAGTATTATTTGTGTTATGAATATTATTATTTTTACTATAATCAAACATATTAATATTAAAAATATTATCTTTTGTGTTATTATTAATATTAATATTAATATTATTAATCAAATAATTACTAAATTAGAAAAAAAACACTTGTAATATTAAGAAAAAACCATAGATTTGATTTGAAAAATAAAACTAAAAATTATTATTACTATTATTACTATTATTATTATTATTATTAAATTTTAAAAAATTATTATTTCTATAAAAAAAATTACATAGAGATACATAGCGCTTGAATTGCTATCTGGAGGCTGGACACACCCCTTATAACCACGTGACGTTTAGGTTCTGCCATAGAGATAGGTACCCCCCCCCCCTATAATACTTGGACTGCTTGATTGAGAGTTTGATATATCCCAACTCACACGTGACGCTTAAGTATAGCAAAATCCACCTATCCTTAAGTCCTGCATGTTAAAAGTTTAAATAGCCTTGGCTCGTGCTAATATTAAAACCAACTATTTAAGAAAATAAAAAATGAGCCCGTAAAGTAGCGGCCACCTAACTACTGCAATCTATAATTAATATGTGGGGTGGGTGGGAGTCAGTATCATCCTTTCCCCCATACTGGTAAGGTTCTTAGTCCGCTTCTTATAAAACGCTTAATAAACCAATTCTATTTTCACAAGCAAATTGAAGAGCTCTGCTGCTTCAAAATAAAAATGAATGACTCTTCTCTACCAGCTCCTGTTGCCAAGAGGTATGATCAGGTTTCTTTTTAAGTAAGCAAGGTTACAAGTCAAGCACATGTGATCAGTACTTTGCCTATGTTAACAATCAAATGTGATAATATCTGTGTGCAGGCTAGAAGGCAAGGTAGCTTTGATCACCGGAGCAGCTAGTGGCATCGGCGAAAGCGCTGCAAGACTCTTTGTTCAACATGGTGCAAAAGTTGTAATTGCCGACATCCAAGATGAGCTCGGCCACTCTGTGTGCAATGAAATCGGCTCCGATTATGTCCACTGTGATGTTACTAGCGAGATTGATGTCCAAAATGCCGTAGAGACTACAATCTCAAAGTATGGTAAGCTAGATATAATGTTTAGTAATGCTGGCATAGCTGAGGCCAAGCTCGATATAAGCATCTTAGCATTTGAGCACGAAGATTACAAGAAAGTTTTCGACGTGAACTTGTATGGTGCCTTCTTGTCAGCCAAGCACGCTGCAAAAGTAATGATCCCGGCAAAGAAGGGCAGTATTATATTCACTTCAAGCTTTGCTTCGGTGTGTTATGGGGCTATGCTCCCATACGCATATGCTGTGTCAAAACATGCTCTGGTTGGACTTAGTAAGAACTTGTGTGTAGAATTAGGGCAATATGGAATTAGAGTTAATTGCATTTCACCATTTGGTGTGGCGACTCCATTATTAAGGAAAGGATTGGGAGGGATCGACCAGAAGACGGTGGAGGAGTTCATTTGTACATCAGCGAACTTGAAGGAGGCAGTGCTGAAAGCAAATGATGTGGCAGAGGCAGCACTGTATTTGGGTGGTGATGATTCCAAGTATGTTAGCGGACTAAATTTGGTTATCGACGGTGGCTATAGCACCACCAATGTGGCCGTAAGAGAGCAAATGAAAGAATATTTTGGTTAATAAAGGTGTGTTTGTTAAGAGGGATTAAGAAGGGATAGACAAAAGAATAAAAAGTGAAGAATTGAGTATTTAATATCGCAAGGATGGAGATTGAAAAGATATTGGAAATATCGGTTTCAATCCTTAATTTACTGTGATTTTTAATTAGCTTTTTTAATCCGGATGGATTGAATTTCATCCTTTCTCTTATTAGCTAAATAATCGAAGGAATGACAAGTCCTGTTATTTTGTCTCCCATCCTTCCACTTCGTTCCATCTATTCATGCTTCCTGATAAACGCGGCCTAAATGTGCAATGCTTGGAGATTAACTAAAAGCATAGATACAAAACTCTAACTAGCCAAAAACTTAGTTATGAGTTGGTTTCTCCAACTTTTTTTTTTTAAAAAAAACAATGTTGTTTTGGAGAATAATAAAAAAACTAAATTAATTTAAAAATTTAAATTATTAAGTAAAGTTTTGAATTATAATTTATATTATTTTTAAAAATTTAAATTATTAAGTAAAGTTTATATTATGTTTTATTATATCATATAAAATGAAAGCTCTTTGAACTTGAAATGGACATGTATATATTTATACTATCTTATATTTATTTATTATTAAATAAATAAAAATAACAAAATTTAAATTCATAATCATCATTAAAACTTTAATATCATATTAAAAAATTAATTGAACATAGTAAATTAAGCTATTAGATTATATTTTTATTAAATAAACTATATAGTTAGATGAAAATATTCAATTTGACATGACATAAAGCTAAACACAAACTAGATTCTAAATAATATATCATTAAATTAACTTATCATATAAAGCTAAATTTATAACCCCCAGATAAAGTCGATGTCCTAACAAAACAAATAAAGTAAGAAAAGTTGTCCTTGTTTACCGGGAGCACCTGAGGCTCGAGGGTTTCAATAACACTCTACATACATTATATTCATAAATAATGTTGTTAAATCCATGGGCTGTGGAAGACTCATCAAATGCTAATTGGCTGTGTTTAATAATTAGCCATGAATGGCATAACATTTTATGGTTAAGCACTTCATCATAGGCAAACCGATGTAGAGATTAATGTTGCTATACATCAGAGGATCAAGCAAGTCCAAGGAAGTATTCACCATGTTTGGAAAATATTAGTGAAATCAGGACATCTTTAACTAGAGAATTAATGAGATGAATGTGCGCATTCACCATGTTTTGCCAAGGGAGACCGTGAGTCCGTACTGGTCTGCAAATTTTGATACACGACTCGAGTGAGCGAGTTGGGCGTTTTTGTAATTGCGTTCTCGAAGGACTTTCTTAATTGCTGCACAGATTTTTCCAGGGGATGCAGGTGGGTAGCTTTCCGGGCCCCAATGTTTGCTTGTAATTATTTTCCTTTTAGATCTCCAACCTTCAACTAACAACATTCTTGATGTGGCATACTGTCTCTCTAAAAAAAAAAGAAGAAGAAGCTTATTTCAACGGAAGAAACTGTTGGTGAAAGGCCAAACACGTGCGGTTGCAATTTGATATATGCAGCAGATATGCAACGAACAAACGATTGCCATTTAGAAGTAGCAAAAAAATTGCACTCGTTGTTGCATATTCTTCTTCTTTCTCAATTTACACACGGTAGCAAACCTAGTGCTGCCCGTGCGTTACGTCCATGACAGATCATGGGGTTTTGTTTTGTTTTTGCAATTTTAATGCAAACTCATGGTCATTGCAATTTTCGGCTGTAATTTGTTTTGTTATTTTATATTTTCATTAAATTTTATGTTTCTCAAAGTACTTCTATATTTACATATGTAACGTAGAATTTAGTTACTATCCCGAAATAAATAAAAAAAATGATAGATAAAACAAGATTGAAAAAAAAATAGAAAACAAAAGTGTATCAAGTAGAAATATAAAAAATAAAATGACAATCTTTATATTATGTTTGATTATGGAGGACGAAACACAATATATATATATATATATATATATATAAAAAGGTATATTTTATCCTTAATATATATTGTTTTTTACTTACATTTTTTTATATAAAAAATAAGCATTATTTTACTAATATTTTTTTAATTTCATCTTTTAATATTTTGTTTGTTAAGAATTGAGTTTTGTTATTTATTTATTTTTTTCTTTTAAAGGGTAATCCATGTCTCATGACACAACCAGAATAATATCAAATAAAAATAAAAATATTGACATAAAAAAAACTCATTAATAAATTACAGTGACATTTATCCATTGAATATTTTCTAGTTATATTTTTCAGTGTATATTAAGAGAATTACAATTTGAAATGAAGGAATAGAAAAATTCTCTCGAGACCTTTACTGATGGAATATGCCCATCTGTATTTTCAATGGTAATCACTGACAGAATTGTCATTGGTGATTATGGCATAGGTAGTAAATATTTCAGAACTCTCTATAAACTACCGACGGATATAGTCCATCGGTAATAGCAATTGTAAATACCAACGGAATAAATTAGTCGGTGATTGTGGCAAGAATGGTATTTTTTTTGCAACTCTCAATAAAACACTAATAGCCTTGTTCCATCTGTAAAGTCATTGGTATTTATTTAAAATATTTTAAAAAAATTATGTATTAATAGTAAAAAAACTAATTAACCAAATAAATAGCCAAATAAAATTGTATTAAACATTAAAAATATTAAAATAATGTTAAATAATATTCATACAAATATTTATTATAAATTTAATATGTTTGAAAAACAAAATTATACTAAAATAATGGGGAAGTTGGAGGAGGAGGCAAATTGTTCTCGGGACCATACGGCTAAGAAGGGGTTGCACATGTATTATCACTCATCCTTGATCTCATCTCCATGACTGTTTGACGAAGTTGATCGTAATCTATCGAGAGTCGTTCATGTTATTGTGGTAATCTATCGAGAGTCGTTCATGTTATTGGGTCAAAGCCATGAACTCCTTAGACTCGGTGCTCAATACCAATAGAGAGCTCCCAACAATTAAGACACTATGAGTAGACCGCAAGTTTTCGGTCGTAGTGTTGGAGAGCCCATAGACCCTATTTTTATCGAATCCACCAGACGATTCTATCTCCATCCACAAATCCGGATCAAAATCCCCATATCTCTCCCTCAACCGGCTGTTATAGGTCTCCTAAAAATTAAAAAAAAAAGTCATCATATTCTAGTCAAGAAAATAATAACTTATAAAATAAAATAATTGTACGAACATAATATAAAGTGGTGAGTATAGTTGTCCACGAACTCTTGTGCCCCTTTCGGCGGTATTGACTTCACACGTGTGTCTCTACAAACAGCTCTATTGGCCTCAACTCACATCCAAAAGACATAGTTTGTAAGTAAAAAAACGGTTGCAAGTTAAATATATTTATAAGCAATAAAAAAATAATTAACGATATATTTCATTTAAATTAATTACTTTTACCATTCGCTTCACATGTGCACTGAACGAGACGGAGCTATCAATATGCATAGTTATCGAACCATGAATTTGCATATTCCAGTTGTCGACACCGGATTGTGAGAGTCATGTGAACCACTCAGACATCACATGCTTAATATATGTGATCCATATATCCCCCAAGATGAATAGCGGTTTGAATTCTTGCCAAATCACCCCCTCATTCCATCATTAAAATCGTTATCTCTCGTATATCTTTTTGCTTTTCTTTATGTGTCATTCCAAAAATCACACAACCTACTTCTATAGTAACAAATTAGATTTTAGAACATAAAATTATGAAACAAAAATAAATATTATTTTTTATGTTACCTAGTTGCCGCGTGATTCTCCCATACCCTCCTCACAACATTATTGTCCTCACTCTCCCACTTAAATTTATTTTGTGTATATAAATAATTCATTTAAAATAAAAATAGTACAATATATAAAATTATAAAACTAATTTATTAAAATAAGCTGGAAATTAAAACTTAACACCTACCTGAAATCGTCAAAACTATGCATCAATATTAGGTCTCCACTCAGGATGTCTGGAAATCTAAATCCATTGAAACAATAGAATCTTTATCGATGATTTAAATGTCAATGTTATTGTCCGGGTAGCCTCAATATTTGTGAACCTGAATTTAAATAAAATAAATAAAATATTAACTAATTGGTTATATATATATATAAAACCTAAACAAACTAACATTGAAAGGTCATCTTTCCATTATGCCTGGTACTTGTGGGTGAATTGACGCCACTACGAAAGCACACTGCCTCTGCACTATGAAATCACACTAGAAGAGGTAGCATCACAAGTTGGTGCAGATGCCTCGCCGTGATCATTTCATTATGCCTGGTACTTGTGGGTAAATTGACCCCACTATGAAAGCACACTATGTCTGCACTATGAAGTCATACTAGAAGAGGCAGCATCACAAGTTAGTGCAGATGCCTCGTTGTGATCAGTATCTAAGGATAAGTCCTTCTCGTTGTTAGAAGAACTAGCTGCAACCGTCTGCTGGCAACATGCTATAGACAAATCTACACATCTACACAAATTTAAACGAATAATTACATAATTAAATTTGATTATTTAAAAAAAAATCGGTAGCACCCCCCTATACCAGAGACTATCCATAGTTTTCAAACTTGCAAATCTTAACAATAACCACAAATGCAAATCTTAACAATAACCACAAACCAACTATCTTCATTGAAAATTCTTCTATACAACCTAACATCTAATGAAATTCAACATCTATATATTTTCAACTAACATCTATAGAAATTCAACATCTATAAAAATGCATAAATAACAATTAAAATTAATGGAAATAATAAAAAGCATAACAATCAATAATAGAATAAAATTAAGATAAAACAATGAAATTTAATTCTTCATTTCCAATTACCATGTCCATGGAAAATTGAATGATAACAACTAAAAAAGACTACATTATCATATAATTATTACATATAAACAATAAAATAAATAAATTTTCATTCAACACATCTACACAAATTTATATGAATAATTAAATAATTGAATTCAATTATTTAAAAAAAATCGACATCTATATATTTTCAATGAACATCTATATAAATTCACAAATAACAATTAAAATAAATATATAAATTCATAAATAACAATTAAAATAAACTGAAATAATAAAAAACACAACAAGCAATAATATTATCGCACATGTACGGCGTCGTGGTGATTATCCACCATCTAGGAAAAAGATGGGATGTGTACCTCT